GCTGCGTGCCGACCTCGGATGTACTTTTAGGTAGCGACCTCACAGAGGATGCTGAGGGCACCCCCTCTGAGCTCGGGGGCCAGTATGTTGACACCCGAGTTCGAGAGCCGAACCGGAGACCGGGTCCACTGTGTAAGTGCCGGGCCGAACTCCGAAACTTTTTGACTTTGGCGTTCCCACAAATCCGTCCGTTAGTTCGGCGTTTCCAGCCATGAAGTCCCGATGTCGGTCTAAAGAGTGACGAGCTGGAGAAAAGGCTCCCCGGAACTGGAGAAACAAACGAAGATAAGGTGCCGACCTGGGGTCTCGGAACGGGTCTCTACAATGAGGAATGCCGATCTCGATAATAGTATAATAATGCCACTTGGAGGGTAATCATTGGTTATCGGATGGGACATCCTAGCTTGCTGACCTACTTCCCTTAGCCAAGACATAAAGCCTGCCAGCATTAAATGCCTGTTAGACAATGATGAGGAAAACCTCAAATCGCATTAAATTCTGTCAGGGAGACGCCGAACCACTCTCCAAGAACACTGTACGACAAGACTGGTGAACAGTGTCACATTTAAGGCCACTATAAATAGCAACCCACTTCATTTATTTTGGGTTGTTGAATCCTAACTGTAAAAGCTCTTTCTATACTTTCTCTCTCTAGATTTATAAGAAACTCTTGTAAGACACTGTAAGTATATCGCAAGTGCCGACCTCGTACGAGAGGCCGACCTAGTGATCTTTTAATAAAATCGTGATTGAACCGAACTTCTTTGTCTTTTTCTTATTATTTCTTTATTGTTCGACTTTTTAACCGTTGACCGGAAACGCCCGTCAACAAGGGGCCTTAGAAATATCCATCAGAGTGTGCACACGTATCCGATCAGATATCGGCCAGTTTAAGTTTTAGTACCAGAACAGATTTCTGGTAACCGATCAGATATCGGTTTATGATTATCCATATTCGTTACTCACTCCCATGAGTTTTAGTTTCAGGTAACAGATCGAAGAGGAGGTGTGAGTGGAGCAGTGTTGGTGTGGATCGTGGACTCAGATGAAGACAAGCTTTGATACGGACATTTATAACAGTCTGTATAATTAACCACGTTTTCAAGTATTTCCGCTATGCACATTAAGTATTGAACTTGCATTTTAATGAATTTCAGATTTCAAGTTTTTACCATTATGAGAAAAATGATTATGGTATTTTAAATGCAAGTTTAAAGGAAATCTGTTTTATTTATGTCTAAAGAAGTATTAGACAAAAGTTTAAAGATAAACGGGTTTTCAAGATGATGAGTTTGAGTAGCATCCCCAGTTAGTCGTAAAAGATTTCTAAAGAGTTAAGTATTTTCGAAGTAAAAGTTGCGAAAAATTTACTCTGATAAGCGGGGTGTTACAGAAGGTGCTTAGGTTACTCTTTCTCCCAATCTGGTCCAGGTCGCTAGACCTATTCTTCTTACTATCTGGTCTGGAATACTTCAGGCACGAGTGCGATCTTCTTTGGTTATGGTACTTCGACTTCCAAAGGCTGGGGATTCTTTTTCTAAGCCTCCCAAGAGCTTCTACGTCTTTTTTGCAGACTAGGTGTACGTCGGTCTCAACTTTACCTTGAAAAATGACCTCTTAGAGCTGGCTAAGCTCTACAGAGTCCCCTTAAACCACTTCGCTTTGAACGCCGTTCGATTTATTGCGAGCTATTGCACTATCAGCCGCATCATACTTTGCTCATTTGACCCTAACTTTTTTCTTTTGTTGCTACTGGAAGAAGCCCTAAAAGGGCTCATTCTACCTTTCTCACTGCAATAATGCGAACTTCTTTGACAACCTTATTTCCAGCATCCCTGAATTGCAATGCAAATTCGTTTTTGTGTGACCTCCCTCGGGGACCTTTGATTTTTCCTCTGAATGGATCCATAAGAAGCCCGAACAGCTTAAGCCCCCAAAGTCAGACCAGGACTACAAAGACATCGTTACCGAATATAATGAAACCCTTTCCTTCTTACTGATGATGGTGGCTTAAGGTCACTCAGTGGTTTATCTTCATTACCATGCTTTAGTACTCCTCACTTAGGTATTCTTCAATTATTGGTGCTTTTTTCTCTTTATAATTCTATATTTGCTGCTTTTTTGATAATTGCGATTATTTCTTTCTCGGCTTGTTTACGGATGTCGTACTGAGAAAGGATCGATCGAGTTCTGCTCTTTGAACTGAGCTCCCACAACATCCTAAAGTGACGTCCAAAATGACTGTCGGAGTGTCGTAGACGTCTTTGTTGCTCCAATCATTGATTCTCGCCAACCTGCCTCCACTTGAATCAACCGCTATCCCTGTACCACCGTCGCTGCTTAACTTCGACGGTTCTGCACAAGGTGGGTCTTCCAAGAAAAAGCTTCGTTCTAAGAAGAAGAAAGTCACTTCCGCACCTCCGAAGCCTACCCCGGCTGAGGTCCCTGTGACTACCATCTTGTACAAAAGATGAACTGGAGTGCGTCTAATAGAATCATTGGAGTTCGACATATCTAAATTCAACTCGCAACAAACATAGGTCGCAATTAATATAACAACTTGATAGAACATACACAAAGAAGTTTTGACAACAGGTCGAGATCGCTAAATTACCAAACGAGTGTCACCTAGGAACTCCTTAAAGAAAAACGCGACCCAAGAGAAACACGTAAAGTACTTTAAGCTACATGAAATCAGATCAAAACAAAGGCAAGTAGAAAAAAGTGAAGAACAAGGAAGAACACGGTAAAGAACATCATAAACTCAGAAAGTTAAAAATAACAAAAATCAAAGAAATGATAGGTTGAGAAAACTTACTAATGATGAACCAGAGTTCAAGTACGATCTATGAAGCACCGAAAAAGAAAGATTGAGGCTGGAAACTGGGAATCGAGGCTCGAGCGTTGGGATTACGAGAGTAAAGTTTAGAGCACGAAAATCGAGAAGTGAAAAGTGTTTTTTGTGAAAATGGTGGGGTATTTATACTCTACTCTAATGATTTAGGACCCTTGGATTGCGAGCAAATTCGTGGTCCATAACGTACATTATCGAGTGCGTGTACTTCGAAGCGACAAAACGTTCTTTCAGTTCCATAGTTAAGACACATGTAATAAAGTCTTGACTGTTGACCCTACTCCATAGCTTGAGGTCGCAACAGAGTAGGTTTGGGGAGGGGAGACTAGATGATATATCCCTAGTTAGGTAAACCAGATTAAACCAAGTATGGACAGGTTGACCGGATGACCAAATTATCTAAATAGAATCTCGGATGATTAAAGGGGAAGGGGATCACAAATGTGATGACCTGAGTATAGACGAAGTATAGACGACTTATATAGTCAGGACGACCTGGAGAACCCTGGATGACCTGGGAAGTTTTAGACGAACTTAGGGACAATAGATGACCTAATGAAGATCAGCCAACTCGATTGTGGAAGATCATCGTCTTAGTCGGATGACCTGGCAAAAGATTGTCATGACGACCCTACAATTATAGATGACCTGAATAAACAAAGACTTTCATAGGATGAGAAGAAGGCTAATGAAGATAAGAAGGAATGTAATGATGACTTGGATGGGATTATGATAAGGATGAACATTAAGCAGATAAAATCAAACCTGGAGGCTGACAGCTGTCAGTCCGGCAATTCGGGCAACAAACATCCCATATAAAAGGGGTTGAAGTACACCTGAAATGGGAGTACATTCTCTACACTGGCTAATATATATACATTCATACAGACCATACATCTTCTTCTATTGTACTGACTTGAGCATCGGAGTGCTCACGTCGGGAACCACCCCGACACTTGTTTTGCAGGTCATTAGATGTTTAGGGGCGCTTGGAGCTCTTTCCCAGCCAGTTCAACCTAGATCCAGGTCTTCGGCACATCAACATTAATGTGAGGAAAAAAGAGCTAGAAGTGGATATTATTTGCAAAGGTTGTTGAGACGATGCAGAATCAGTGGAGCATATTTTTTCAACTGCAGTAGGTCGGATGGAATCTAAACAGCAACCATGGACTTTAAAGAGTGGTGTATGCTCACTGCATCACAAATAAACATCAGAATAAAGGATACAACTCACTATCTATATACTTTGTGGTTGTGGAAAGCTTAGAAATTTAGGGTGTTCCAAGGTATGTAGAAACCAGAAAGAGTAATTATAAACTCGGTTGTAAAGGATTAGGTGGAACTCAAAGTTGTCCATAATATGTTTATTGTCTATGTTTAGGGTGGTTTTTCTAGCTAGGTCTTTTACTTCTACTCCTTTGTGTTTTTGTTTAGTTGAGTTTGGCATGATTACTTTAAGGGATAAGCTATGGATCTCGACTTTTCTTGCTGGCTTTAGCTTATATTTATGGAACATATGTTGTCATGTTGTTTTTTTTTACGCCACAATTTTATTTAGACATGCCCAAAACTGAGTTCTGGGCCGGTTCCACATCGCATTTTTGGGCCTGGTTTAATGAACCAGCAATTCCAGTTTAGAACCGACTCGTCGGTACCGGCTCAAACCAATAAATTAATAAAAATAATCAAAAAAGAAAAAATGATTAAAAGAATTGCCAAACAGTTGGTTTCGATTCTGAGCTGGACCGGTGGTTCAAATTGTGAAAAGTAATGAGCCAGAACCGGCCATGAGCCGGTTCTGGGCTGGTTTGATGGGCCTATCGTGCTCAATCGTGTTAATGGGGTTGTTTTGCCTCTTTTGCTAGTAAACGTTGTGATTTGATTAATGAACTTTGTGGTTTGATTAATGATATCTTCTATTGGTTTTTAAAAAAATTTCACTTTTCCTCTCTATTGAATGAATTTCAACACACTATACTTATATTTATTTATAAAATAATTCATTGCACCTAAATCAATCCAGAACAAGAAGGAAAAGAAACGGTCAAGAAGCAAGCATGGTATAATTAGCAAGCATAGTATAATTTTTTCGTTTATTTCCACCTCACATGAGCATCTGATTCCCCATCTCTGAAAAGGGATTATTATGTTCCCACTCAAACTCGTTCGCTCTCTCGTCTCCGGCGATGACGTCACCAACAACCCCCTCCTCCTCCGCATCCACCACGACCACCTCGAAGAAAACGACGAGGCCATCAACCCATCCTCCAAATCGAGAAGAAGAATCCCTCTAATGCTCTTCAATCCAACTCAAGAACTAGTCAAGGACACCTACCGATTGGCCTCTATCGCCCGAGCCATCGGCATGGATTTCCACCCTAACGCGTCCCTCTCCCACATCATCTTTTCATGGCCATCGCCGCCCGGCGCGTCATCATCACGCACATCAACATCATCGTCATCGGCATCATCATCGTCATCTTCTTCGTCCTCCTCACATTTCGCCTGGTCCCTGCAAAACGACACCGTCGCCCTACCCTTCCCCTCCTTCTCCACCGCGTCCCTCTCCAACCTCCGCCTATTCGCCGCCCTCTCCAGGGGCCACTTCAAGCTGGCCTTCCTGAAAAACAATTGCGCCCCTTTCGAAAAAATTGAGGCTTTGAGCAACAATAACTGGCATTGCAGCTCGCTTTCCCTGTACTCTTCGCGTACAGGAGAGAGAATTGACTCAATTGATGATCTTTCTAGGGCTTTGCTTGGGAGCGGATGGACCCTTTTCAGGACCAACGTTAGTAGAACAAAAAAATCCCGAGAATTTCTCGATAGGGCGATTTATTTGTACCGCAAATCGGATGTGAACAAAATTTCTAGTGCGAAACAGGTGATTGAGGATGGAAATGGAGATTCCAGGGATTGCGGTAGGGTCAGGGAGCTGAGGTTGCCTCCGTTGGATTTCAGAAATGTCCCTCTGAGGATTCTGCAGTATATTCTTCTGATGACTGATGATATTTTCTTCCTCGCCTAGAATATTTGAGTAAGTTTACATTATTTTCAATTTGTTACTGTTCTGTTCCTCTATTTTTGTTCTGTCAGTGGGTTGCATAGTTGACTTTTCTTTGCAGATTGTATTTAGTTGGTAAAGTTTTAAACCTTGTCCGGTTGAGATAGATCTGCAGAATGTAATAATGTGATAATCCAACTATTAAGGTAGCGTATGAAGAAACTAAAAAAGAAAAGTTTTTTCCCCGCTTCTTGTCTGTGGGTGTTTACTATTCTTTGAGTTTATGCTCAATAGGAATGGATATTAGATCTGATTCATTTTTGGGTTGCAGCCTATGTTTGTACCGGTGGTACAGGGAATTATGTCCCAATTGTTGAAATGAAAAAAAAAATAAAAAAATAAAAAAATAATAATAATAATTAGCACTTTAGTTTTTAGTCCTTTTTCTCATCGTGTAAAAATGTAGCTGCTATGTTTGATGAAATTGTTGTGAACCTTAAACGAAAGAAAGTATATCCTTGCAATATTCTTCTTTTTGATGATCAATGGGACACCGCTTATCATTTTTTCGCCTAGTAATGTAAATTATGTCGAATTTTTAACATTATTATCCTGTCTGTCGAATGTCATTTACTCAAACGTATTGTTTCTTGGGATATGTATTTATTTGGCTCTATGATGGTTACTCAAGTGGATGAGGGACGATTGTCATGATGGTTCTGCACCAAAATGTGGCTATGACATCTCCTTCATAAGATTGAATAATATAAGATATAAATTTCAACAATCATTCTTTACAAATTCAGATAACAAATTTCTTTGAGGTTGTCTTTTGCAATGTAATAAATCGATTGATGTCAAGTACTGGAACTCCTACGTACCTGTGCTATATTTAGCCCTCCCCTCTAAATCCATATATTTTAGTTCAACCGAAGATTCAAAACTGAAAAACTGTACGCTTTGAAGACCAAATATAGTTACATCCTTTTGTTTCTTCGTCTTAGACATTTCTTGCTGTTTACATTATATATAAATGTTATTTGGGTTATTATCATGAATTTGCACCTCCTACATCTGCTATTTCCCTTGGAAGGTTGTGTTTGTAAGAGATAAAGATTTCACCTTTGATCTTTGATCATTTTGTTCATCTGAAGTTGGATCTCGGTTTATGAAAAAAAAAAAAAAAAGTTCTTTTTGGAAGTCTCTTTAGGAAAACCAATCCATAGAAATCTTGGCTTGCGTTAGCATGACCACAAATTTATATGATATATTTGGTCACGCAATTTGTTATTTCTTATTTATTTTGACTATTTGGAATTCTCATACGAACTATAAAAATTAAATTGTGATGTCAAAGGCTATATAATATTTTTTTTTCATATTTTGGACAGTACCAGTCTGGAATTCAGGATGAGATAGCTTCTCCATATGTGGACACATTCAAAGGATGATTAACTTGCTGTTTCAAGCACAGACTTACTCAGTCATGGCATCAGTTTCTACTGCAGACGAGCATGAAATTGTAAATATAGAGTTATGTTACCATAACTGGAATGGTTCATGGAGCATGGTATTAGCGTAGAACACACATCCAGAACTTGAAGAAAGTTGAGAATAGATGCTCGTCATTGACTGTACTATCGCAATCAAGTGGGAGTGTATTATGTACTCTTTTAAGTAGAATATAGTATTTGCAGATTAGGATCATAGATCTCCTTTTGTCAATTGCAAATGGAGCTGAAAGAGTCATTGTTGACAATTCTCTTGGCATAGTGCTAATAATGGACTAGATCAAATGGATCAATTAAATTCTAGTGCTTCTTCTATTAGTGAAGTTTCTAGAAAAAAAATATATATATATATATATATATATCAAACGGCGCAATGCACCTTGGGTCGCCACGGAAACAGCCTCCTTGTATAATTACAAGGATAAGGTCTGCATACAACTGACTCTCCAGACCCCAACATGTTGGGAATATACTGGGTATGTTGTTGTTGTTGTTGATCATAAATTTCCTTGTCATGCTGCCAATGTAGCTCCTTTAGATAGATTATAATCTTGAATTCAGAAAATACACCTCAAGATTCATAATCTTGATGTTCTTTGTGAATAGTTCAACTCATGAGGCAAAGTTTGCATGTAATTCGTACTATCTACTATCTAGCAGGGGGTTATACGTTCAGGTATCCTTTGTACATACTTGAAATCAGGTATCTCTTTATCTATCTTTAGATTGATTAAAAATTGATTCTAGTCAATGTTCAATGTACAAAGCAAAAGGTATTTCGATCTTTATCCATCATTAGATTGATTAAGTCTTGTTGATGTGCGGCTTTGATTGACGTGATTATGAAGTTTACGTATTTATGTACATCATCGGCACCAAAAAGTCTATATAGTAATTAACGAACTGAGTGACTTGTTGTAAATATATTTACCGGAGTAGAATCAAAAGATTCGAACACCGGGTCGTGTCTCTCGAGGAAGGTTAGTCGGATTACTTTGCACGTTTATTCAACCACAAAAAGAGAAACAAAATTCTTAAACATTCTAACTCAGATTTTTGTTTTGATTTTTAATTAACAACTACGAAGATAAAAAAAACGCAAATTCAGAAAGCAGAGTCAAAGCAATCAATCAACTAGAATAAGGTAGCTAGGGAATCGAGGATAATAATCTTGATTTGATATGCAATTGTGGGGCAAGTGATATGTTCGGTTAAGTGATTTGAATAATCCGCTCGTTCAAATACTCATCCTCAATAACTCTTCATAACAAGAGGACAAACTTGAACAACAAATTAACAAGTCATTTAACACCTAGGCAATACAGTTACGAATAAGCCTAGCTTATACGAGCCTATTTCGACCGCCTCCTCCCCTTTCGGTTCCAAGAGTTGATTAATATAGACTAGAGGGTGATTAACCGACTAATCCATTAGAATACCCAACATCATGCAAGAATAAATCGAACTCAATTGAAAATCAATTGGAAGTTGAAGTGTCACCCTTCAACAATCCTCAATATTCATGTACGATAATTGAAAAACCCTTTTAAAAGATCAACTCGCATAAGAAGAACAAACAACGAACTCTACAATCACAATCGAAATCAAATCATTAATCCCCTATCCCTAGCATAATGATTTAGCTACTCATCACAAATTCAACATCAACATTCATATCAAGCAAAGCCATAACATTCATCAATGAAATGAAAGAGAAGCTTACGATTAATAACAAATCCAATGTCGAAAAACAACGAGCAATCCAAATCCAAGGGTAAAATCTTGGAGTTTTCATTATCCAAGATCAAATCTAAGAGAAAAGATGAGAGAAATATGTTTTGCGATGAAGAAAAACGAGTACAAAGTCTGAAAAATCCTCAAAATATCCCCTAGGTTCGAACTAGTAGCCTTCCCAATTCAAAACCCACAAAAAACGCGATTAGTTAAAAATAGACCTTAGCGGCGCTAACCCCTTAGCGCCGCTAACCCCTCCTTTTTTTGCTGTGAAGTCTCTGGCGTCGGTAGCACCTCGCTAGCGACCATAGCGCCGCTAGTCTGCATACCCCTAGCACCGGTAATCCCTTTGTGGCGCTAGGGTCTGGGCAGCTTCCGATTTTTGGTTTTCTGAGTTCGTGAGCTCTCGACTAGCATCTCTCGGGTCTTTCCCGAGCTAGAAACTTAATCCTTTGCTGCCTGGTGGCACGAACTAGGATGAAACACCTGGGAACCGGAACGACCTGGAACCACCAAAATCGGACAAACACGAAAAGCAAGAAAAATAAGAAGAAAAACAAAGAAAACACGAAACACACCTGAACAACACTAAAACACGAGAAACGACTCGGAGGACTGGAAAAACCTAAGAAACAACCTAAAACGGGGGAAAACACATGCAAAATATAGACAAAAATAGCAACAAAAATGGGACAAACAACTCCCCCACACTAAGACCTTTGTTCGTCCCGAACAAAAAGAAAGTAAAAGAAAAGAAAGGAAAATAACAAATGAGCAAGGACAACGGTTCAAGCAAGACTAATCTCAAACCAATCAATCAAGTCAAGAAGAATTCAAATGATCACAAGAGCACACCTCAACTATTAACTTGGCCATTTTGAATGACATAAACTCTCTAATACAGAAGTGTATCATATATGCCTCACTCAATTTCTTCCTCAAATATCAATTGGGTACACTCAAACTGGTCATCAGTCGAATCAATCATAAATTTGACTATCGTCTAACTCCTACTCTAAAACAATCAAATTCATGAAACAGTGAATCAAGAGGACTTTAAGGGATGTATCGTAGGCTCTTTGGATCGGGTAGGATAAATATAGGCTAACTGGCTAAATAAAAATTAACTCAACTCAATCAGATAACCGTAATCATGAACTCCTCCGGTTGCTGACACCAACCGGTTCCTCCCACTACTCCAAGATCAACTTACTTCCCAACTTATTCACCATTTTTTTTTTGTGAGAACCTTTGGACATTTTACGTAATCCATTCGGTTTCTCTATTTTTATCTCTTTTTTTTTGTGTTAGAACCTTTGGACATTTTATGCAATCCATTCGATTTTTTTTTTATCTATATATATATACAAACACGAATCACCTCCAATTCTACACCCGCAACTCCACAATATCATCGTCACGAGGTTATAAAAGATAGAAAATAATAAGGCTCAAAGGAGGTGACTAGCGACATTATTTTCAGAAAAAGAAAAGGGAAAGGAAATACAAAGAATGCCTCAATCATATTCACGTTCATAAACCCAATTATTTCATTTCTGAGTAGACTCAAGGCAAATTCTAATTGGTAACGATTCTGACTAATATCTCACAAGAAAAGAAATGAACGTGGCTCAAATCTCACACGATAAAATAATTGTCAAAACAGAACAACCAAGTCAATTCATCAAGATATGCCACTTATACTCATCATCACAACTACTTGACCCAATCAATCAATCATCAACTAGTCTTACAATACACCAAAGTCCAAGCTCAGAAAAAACACAAACAAACTGACTCAAGATAAGACACTCAAACGAAAACAAAATATGAAAACACCCTAAAAGAACTAGACCTGGTCAACCATATAAAACACATAATCATGTAAAAACTCCCTCACACTTAAAACTGAACAATGTCCCCATTGTCGATCATCAGTGCAAGAAAAGTTTACCCATATAATCAACCAACATAAAAGACAGAAAAACTAAAACAAAAACAAAAATAAAAAGAAAGGAAAAGATACAAACGTACAAAGCACAGTGACTAGACTAGTCACTGTGAATCCGGTGGTGCAGGTGGAGGGTGGAGGTAGTCAGGCCCACCGCTGTTCTCTCTCGCCCATTGGGATCTGGGCAACTCTCTGAAACTCGGCTTGGGTGGTGTAGTGTGGCGGTCATTTTGGTGTTCTTCCTCAGCACAGGCTCGGCCTTGCAATGACATCTTAGCGTGCTCTCGCGTGCACGCTTTCTCAATGAGCTGCTCAATTGCTCTAAGGTACGCGCACTCTTCTACGAACTTCACTTTCGGATCAGGCCGAGGCTCTCGGACGGAAATGAGGGTAGATTCCCCCAACACAGTCATGCTCGCAGTCCCCTTCTTCACATCAATAACTGTGCTCGTGGTCGCCATGAAGGGTCGCCCGAGGAGGAGGGCGTGCTCCTTACCATTGTTCTGCACGTTCCCCACATCAAGCACAACGAAGTCCACAGGGACTATCAACTTCCCCACTCGGATGAGCACATCCTCAACAATCCCTTCTGGGTGACGGAACGAGCGATCTGCAAGCTGTAAACGCATTTTGGTGGGCTTCAAATCTCCAAGCCCGAGCCGGTGATATACTGTGAGTGGCATGAGGTTAATGCTTGCTCCTAGATCGAGCATCCCTGAGGTCTCTCTCCCATTCCCGAAAGCTAAAGTGATCACAAAGCCTCCGGGGTCTTTTTCCTTCTTAGGAAAATTATGCTGAAAGACACTCGCGACTTCACACATCAGCACCTCATTGCTACTCTCGAGCTTATGTTTATTCGCCGCCAATTCCTTGAAAAACCTCGCATAAGCCGGTATCTTCTTCATCACGTCGGGAGGAGATAAATCAACATTGGCCTTAGCCAACATCGCATGAAGGTCTCGAATCATCTTGCGGTCCTTCTTCTCCAAAACTCAGCTCGGAAAAGGAATCCTCAGCCTGTATGGGTTAGGGGATTTATGTAGGGTAGGTTCTGGTGATGGTGTCACTGAGGCTTCTTTCTCCTTAACAACTACCTTCTCCTCATGCTCGGGTATAAGCACTGTAACTGAATTCGCATGCTCGGGCTGACTCGACAACTTTCCCTTGTTCAAGTCAGTCTCGATGGTTCCGACCCGTGTGGCCAACTGTCCCACTTGCGTCTCGAGACGCTTAATAGAAGCCTCGTTGTTCATGGTTCGTTGCTATTTGTCGGCCAAAAACTGGAGGATCTTATCTAGCTTCTCTTCTGAACTTGGCGGACCCTGTTCGGCTCCCTGGGCTGGTGCTGGCAGCCTTAACATTCCCCTGAGTTGCTGCTGCTGGGGGAAAGAATTGGTTTGAGGTGGCTGCTGATAGTGGTTGTTGGCCCATGAGAAATGAGGATGGTTTCGCCACCCCGGGTTATATGTGTTCGAGTAGGGGTTGTTTTCGTGTCGGTTCTGATACCTCTGCAATGCGTTAACCTCAACATTCTTCCCTTCGTAATTCGGCTCGATAGCCGACGGGCACACCTCAGAGTTGTGCCCCTGGAC